TGTGTTTTATGTACCTGCTTATTATGCTTACCTGTACAACCTTCATACGGATCCCGGATGTATGTGTTTTATGTACCTGCTTATTATGCTTACCTGTACAACCTTCATACGGATCCTGGATGTGTGTGTTTTATGTACCTGCTTATTATGCTTACCTGTACAACCTTTATACGGATCCCCGATGTATGTGTATTATGTACCTGTTTATTATGCTTACCTGTACAACCTTCATACGGATCCCCGATGTAGTCTATTTTACAGTAACATTTATTATCCAGACTTTTGCAATATGCATTCTTCTTGCATTTACTATCACAGGGGTCTACAAAAAATACAAACATTTCAATTATTGCTCGTCAAACTAGGACAAGTCTTTAAGAAATACCCAGCATTAAACTGTATTTATCGTTGTGTGGATTACGGAATTCTTTCAATCCTTACAATGACATCCATCTCAGTCACGATGATGTGACGTCGAAGTTGTAATACCGGACCTTAACCTGATGGCTGTTTATAAACAACAATATGTCCTCCTTCATATGATTTACATAAATGTTATTTTCATGAAGAAAAATATTTAGAAAACAACTTGGTACATTAAACTGTTACATGTATCAATTGACATTGATCGCCTTCATGAAGACCTGCAAAATTGGTTCATTGAATTTAAACTTCGTGTTGGCTTGCATAGAGACAATCAATACCAACTGAAAGCAGTAATATTTAAAACTATTATCATTTTGCTTACAGTTTTTAATGTTAAAATTACTAATCAATTAGATATATGTTTATAAACACAAATGGTTATAAAGCTATCTAGATTGGCTTTCTTCCACCGTTGCAATCGGATATAATTTTTTCTAGTTTCAAAACACCTTACTAGTTCATACAAGATTTTTTTTATACAAGATACAAGAATTACAAGAATTTTTATTTAGAGTCGTGTTTGTAAGATGTAAGATTTCTCAATATACTTTCTCTCGATGGCATTTCATAACAATTTCGTTATATCCCACTGTAAATTTGCCACAATTTGATCAAAGAAAGATCCAAAGACTTTTATATTACTTGTACATCCGTACAGCGGATCTCCGACAAACCCAGCGTGACACTGGCACGTACTGTCTGGTGTGTGGCAGTTAGCGTTGCCCTTACACAACCCGTTACATGGCACTGTAAGTAGGAGAAAAAAACCATCATGTCATTTTTTCATTACTGAAGCTTTGTAAACATTAGAACAATATATGAGATCTGTAGTCTTTCTTACATTTCTTTTCTTCCTTTCCTTTTCTTTCTTTTGTACTCTATCGTGTACTCTTTCTTTTGTACTCTATCGTGTACTCTTTCTTTTGTACTCTACCGTGTACTCTTTCTTTTGTACTCTAACATGTACTCTTTCTTTTGTACATTTTCTTTTACACCCTTTCTTTTGTACTCGTATTTAACATTTGTCCTTTCATAACTCGCCTTTTTTACCATTTCTTCTAACATTTTTATTCCAATTCGACCTTATTTATTCTCCCTTTCTTACTTGGCACCTTTTCCATTCTATCCTTTCTTACTTTCTGCTTCCCCCCCTGCTCTATCCTTTCTTTCTACTTCATGTACAGTGTTTGTCAGACTAGTGTGACCGGATGCAATGTCATGCTCACATTGTGTCGAGACTGTATATTGACATTTGAGCTCCCAAGTCTACAGTGGACAGCATGTTCATTCAAGCAAAACGTTTGTGAATGTGAAATCCATGAAAACAGATTTCCCATTGCAGTTTTGTACAATAAGGGTGGCATAGCAAGGTAGATAAACACACGTCCTATATATGGACAAGGATAGGATATAAACGAAAACTTAAGCATTATCATAATATTTGAGGTACTAAAATGCTTGCACAATTTTCATTAGTTTCCTTCAAGGTTTAAGATTGCCCGTGTTTGTTCTTTTACTAATTTTGAGCTGATCCTACGCATAAAAATGAAATCGTTAACTTGATAAGCAGTAGGTGACACAACGAATTAAGGAATCTCAGGGATGCCTATATATTCGTGGTATGAAAACATTCACCGGACACTCATTTAATAATATACTAGTGCCATGGCAACGTGATCATGTCCTGGGCCCGGGATCATGTCCTGGTGTAGACATGCCATACGTGCAGTGGAAGTACACAACACGGAAATAACACATTTTATATTCTAAGTAAAAATCATTATACTCTATTAAAAAGATAAACATGTTACTAAGTAATTAACGATTGGTTGTCATTTACAGACAAACAGAGCGGATTAATTTTCAATTATAACGTACGCGATTAAAGTTGAAGCTAATAGACTATATTTAGATGAAGGTCCTGCCTTCTCATTTGTCCTCTTTTCTGTGTATTAAAAGAAACGCTAGGAATGATGAAACTTTAAGCAAACACGGAAGAAATATTGACGATATAATGACGACAAATAAATCAGATGCAAAACATTATAAAACTATCTAATTCCCTTTACAACTGTCTAACATGAAATCAAATTACTAAGAAGATAGTCCGGTTAACTCCCACTTTGAAGGAATTTGACCATAAGTCAGAAAACAGTATCTCATTACTTTTTGGAATGTCCTATTTTTAATAATCAAAGAACAACTTTGTTCACTTCTCTTAATAGTTATGGAAACCACAACCACATTGATAAAAACATTCTTCTCCAGGGCTGTCCTGATTGTGATGGGCTTACAAATAGAAGAATACTTGATGATGTGCATATTTTTATTGGAAAATCCCGTCGTTTTAATTTTTATATGACTTAAAGCCATGATGTTAAACAAAAATATACTATATATTCTATATTTCATCCAGGAGATTCTAGTTGAGCATGACTACTGTCTATTACGTGTACTTATCATGACATTGTAAATAATTACACTCTATATGTATTAAATGAATTTATTATTTTTAATTGTAACAGTTGTTGGTAGCAGTGACCTGTGCAATATATGCACATGGACTTTTGGTCTAAGCCTGCCAATATCTGTCTATGATAGTGTATATATATGCTGAAATAAATGTATTTGTACATGTACTTGTATGTGTGTGTAAGTGTGTGTGTGAGATGTTTCCTTCATGAGTTACTTCCCCTTAGCCTTGTGTTAATATGAATTATTTTGTGTTAATTTTTTCATTTGCAACATGTCTAAAATATTATGTCTCCTTGTTTATTCAACTTTGGCCATTTGACGGAGAGAATTTATATAGGCTTTGCCTGTTATTCAATCCAATTGATTACGACATCTTGTCAATAAAATTTGATGAAATGAAATGAAAAATGAAATGCCTTTCACCTCTCTTTTATTTCGTTTGGATATAACTGTGTGGTTTTGTTGGATATAACTGTATGATTTCGTTTGGATATAACTGTATGATTTCGTTTGGATATAACTGTATGATTTCGTTTGGATATAACTGTATGATTTCGTTTGGATATAACTGAGTGGTTTTGTTTGGATACAACTGTGTGGTTTTGTTGGATATAACTGTGTGATTTTGCTGGATATAATTGTATGCTATTTTTGTTAAAACCGAGTGGTTTTTTTTTATAACTGTGTTTTTTGTTGTTATAACTGTGAGTTTTTTTTGGTTATAACTGTGTGGTTTTGTTGGATATAACTGTATGCTATTTCTGTTATAACTGTGTGGTTTTGTTGGATATCACTGTATACTATTTTTGTTATAGCTGTGTGGTTCTGTTGGATATCACTGTATGCTATTTTTGTTATATCTGTGTGGTTTTGTTGGATATAATCGTAACTATTTCTATATCGAATAGTTCGTAATTATTGTGAAAGATAATTAGTTTTGTGGAAGAGGGGAGGTAACTCCACCTCATACTTCTCTAGTAAGGAATTTGTATAAGATAAAGAGTTATCGATCCTGTAATTCGTTCACTTCCGCTAAGACGATAAAAGGCAGGTGCATGATATTAAGTTTTCAGAAAGTAATCTTTAAAATTTACTATAAATTTGATATTTAAGGCAATGAATTTTGCTTGTATGGTATTTTTGAACTAATGGGTTTTAAGTTTAAATGACGATGTAAGCTAGATTGAAATGAATTGCGGCGTATTTAATGAATAATTGAACCGATACATTTTGACCTTGATTGAAGTGGTCTCCATTGAACAGACAACGTGGTCACCCCCCCGGTCATCGGGTATTTGCTTTGGTATCAGGACAGTTGTTGGGTGTATTTTAGATAACCCACAACGTTGATTTGTTATGAATATGTACTGTTAAGATAAAGAAATAATTTCTTTATTATATAATATTTCAATTGTATAGTTATTATACTGAGGTGGGGCAATCGGAAAACATTTAATCTACTGATGCTGTAATCACGGGCGTTTTAACTGCCGGGTTGGCCGGTTGCATTATTTTGAGGCAGATGTTATTAGACGGGTACCCGTTAACCGTTGTAGGGCTGTTACTGTACAGCAGGGAAATGATTAAATTGTATGACGACAGTTCTTTGTCGTTACACATGAGTGACCGCCCGTCATCAAACTACCAACTCATTTGCATTTTTTTGGTTTCTGTGCTGCGGATTTGGTATGGAAACAGGTTAATGAAGGGTTCCCACCAATATGGGAAAGAAATTATGGAAATATGGTTCGGAAATAATACATTATCGTCAATGAACCTGACATTGTTTTTTTTTGTTAGAGTTATTCCCCTTGCATTGTGAATTTTCATAAACTGTACTGTAATTTACTGGAAGTGTTTACCTGACCTTACCCTGGGTGATATTTTGGGGAATTCATACTATAACTATTAGAAATATACATGCAGTATTGTGTCAGCCTGTAACCTGCATCAACAGTCTGGCTTTGCTATGTTTGTAATTAATTTAATTTTGTGTTCTTTATTTTTTCGAGATCATGCCAAAAAGGAAAGCGACAAAAGATGCAGGGCAGGGGCCTCAGGCAGGAACGAGGGGTGCCAACCGGAGACAGGCGTCGGTGCCGCCGACCGAGGAGGAAGCCGAACCTTATGTGGAGGCAGTAGATGCAATTCCGATGGAGCCACACCAGCAGGTTGACCATATGGGTGGCAGTTCTATAGGTATATCTCCTATTGAGGGGTCAGAGCAATTGTTTCCCCCCTCCAACCCCTTGCCCATAACATGTGCCCATACTTCCCTAGGGGCTAATGTCTCGCCTGGCAACAGACAAATAATAATATCAGGGCAGTATATAGATTTGGGCCTGTTGTTATTGAACGGGCCGTCTGAACAAGGGGAACAGCTACTGATGCTGAATAAAAAGGGTAAATTGATAACTAAGGCCAAAATCAATGAGAGGATAGTTAGTGTAGAAAAATGGACTGATGCCATGATGGTGTTTGCGACCATTTATGGTTCAGCTCACCCAGCAAAACACCCTGATTTGTTGAGGTATATATCAACTGTTCGACTGGGCCCAGCAAGATCACCAGGTGGGTGGGGCTGGAAAAGGTACGACGAGCAATTCCGGCTCAGGCAAGCTCTCGACCCGGATAGTTCCTGGGCAGCTGTGGACATGGAGCTTTGGCTCCTATGTATGACAGGTCAAACTGCCTCCACCCGGCCTTCTGCCCCTGCGACCAGCAGTCAACAGGGGAGACTCATGTGTTTTGATTTCAACTATAAAGGTTCATGCTTCAAAAGTCCATGTTCCTATGTCCATGCATGTACACAGTGTGGGGGGAATCATTCCGCGAATGTATGTAATGCTGCCGGGGGGGGGGGGGGGGGGGCAGGTCAAAAACATTTTCAGCCAAAATTTAACCAAACCGGGTCAGGTCAACACAATTTTAAGCCAAGATTTTCCCAACCCCGTTCTCCATACCCCAGGGCGGCAGTCACAAACCAACCGGGTCACAACCAAGGGTACAACCAACAGGCATTTCGGGGTAGGGGAAGGGGCAACAGGTTTATGGGACCTGGGTCGAACACCTATTAAGATTGACCGACTCCGGGCTTGTCTGGCTGACTACCCACTTGTAAAGGTTGCACATGAATTAGCTATGGGGTTTTCAACGGGTTTCAAATTGCAGTATACAGGACCAAGGCACCCTACGCAGTGTAATAATCTGGTATCGGCGTCTGACCATCCTTTGGAGCTTCAACAAAAAATTGAGGAAGGTCGGGTTATAGGGCCATTTATAAATAGACAAATTGCTAACCTTAGGTTATCACCAGTGGGGCTGGTTCCTAAAGCTGTTGGAAAATGGCGAATGATCACCCATTTGTCACATCCATTGGGTAAGGGGGTTAACAGCTACATTGATGAGAATCTCTCGTCTGTCAAATATTCATCGTTTGATAAGGTGCTAGACATGGTTAGTAATTTAGGGGAAGGGGCATTATTGGCAAAAATGGATGTAAAATCTGCTTTTCGACTTCTACATATTTTTCCGGGAGATTTTGACTTATTGGGGTTTAAAGTTAATGGGCAATTTTACATAGATAAGGGTTTGCCTATGGGGTGCAGACCGTGCTCCATCTCTTGCAGGTATTTTGAAAATTTTGCAACTTTTCTGCATTGGCTCGTTACATTTAGGACAGGGTTAGACACGTTGGACCATTATTTAGATGATTTTTTGTTTGCAGGGAGTAGTGATTCAGATGATTGTTCGGTTTTGATGCATAGTTTTACAAGCGTGTGTCTGGAATTGGGAATTCTTATTGCCCATGAAAAGTCAGTGGGGCCTGTCACAGTCCTGATATTTTTAGGCCTGGAAATTGATACAGTGAACAGGGTCATTCGTATCCCATCTCATAAAGCCGAGGAGTTGTATCAATTGCTTTACAGGTATTCCAAGTGTAACAAGGTTACACTCAAGGATTTGGAATCACTGGTGGGAAGTTTGTGTTTCTTTTGTCGTGCTATTAGACCAGGGCGGGCCTTTTTGCGCAGATTTTATGATGCTATGTCTAAGGTGTCCCAACCTTTTCATTATATTCGAGTAAACTCTGGCATGCGCGATGATATGATCATGTGGTTGGAATTCCTAGATACTTTTGACGGGCAAGCATATTTCCCAGAGTCAACTTGGTGTGATAGTGATACCCTTCAGTTGTATACAGATAGTGCTGGGTCAGCTGACTTGGGTTGTGGTGCTTATTTTGGAGGCAGTTGGGCATTTTTTGGGTGGCCAAGGGATTGGAAAGATCAGCCAATCATCAGGGACATAACATTCCTTGAATTTGTTCCCATAATACTGGCATTAATGTTATGGGGCCCACACTTGCA